ATTCACTATAGCTCTATAGCGAAGTTGAAGTTCAGGACATAAAATTCGTTATATCAAGGGTTGACTGTATATATAATTTTTTGTTTCTTTTATGTTTTTTTTTATAATTATTAGATTTATTATTTTTTTTTAAATAATAATTATTTTTTCGCAATTTAGTAAAATTTTAAAATAGAGTCAATTGCTTTTATTATTTTTTTTGCTTACTTAAATAAATTAATTCAAAAAACTTTTTAATCTTTTAAGCATATAAATTATGAAAAGTTACATTCTTATTTGTTTTATACAATTAATATTAAATTATATATAAATTAATTTATTTATAATTAAAGATAATCTTCATAATTATTTTCAAATTTCAATAATTTCAATTAAATTGCAACTTAATTGTATCATAAGGAAATTTAATTGCATTATAAGTTGTAACTCAATTACATCATTTTTTTAATTATGATACCCATCTTTATTTATGATTGATAAAATATCCTGATATACATCAATTTACTTGATTTAAAAATTGATTGATATTTAGATCTTAACTTGAGAATATCATTTTGCATCTAATAAAATACCTAAGTATATTATTATGGGATACAATCAAAAGGAAGTCTCTTAAGCAAAACTTCATAATAGTAATTTTAAAAGATAATTAACTTATTGTATATTTACTTTGATTATTTTCTTATAAATAAACATATTTTTAAAATAGAATTACTTGATAAATATCATATCATTGTTTGTTAAACTTTTATATAAATTTCTTTTTCAAATAAGTTTTAAGTATACTTATAAAATGTTAAAGATTATTAATTAATTAAAAAAATAAACACTTGAACATTTTGCCTAATAGTTAGAATTATACATTAATAATATTATTTTTCTTTTATAAGACTTATTTTAAATGATTTTAATATTTAATATTAGAATCAAATTTGAAATTTATAATATATAATCATATAATGTATTTAAAAAATAAATTTATAATATAAAAAGATTGAAGTTTTCTTATATATACAGAATATGAAGAAAATATTTAGCAATTAATTCTTAAGCTTTAATATTAAATAAAAGATTATATTTAAAGAAGTTATATATTTATAGAAGTTATATTTAAAGAGGCTTGATTGTAATTTTTATTTTTTATTAAAATTAATCTTTTATACATAAATTATTGATTAATATTTTTTTAAATAAATTTATTTTATTATATATTTTTTAAAAAAATTTCTGAGAAAAAAGATATTTAAAAGATTTGCTAGAAAAATAGAATTCTAAGAATTTTTTTATTTTTATTAAAATCAAAATGCAAAAAAAATTATATTTTCCTAACAAATCTATTAATATAATTTTAGATAATATACTTTAGCAAATTTATTAATAATATTAAAAATAGTAAAAATATTAAATTTTAGTTTTTATAAATATTAGAATTTTTGTAAAATTTATATAAATAAATTTACATTTTAATAATTATTAATTATAACTAATTATTATCTTTAATAGTAAAAGAAAAGTATATATTGAATTGTTTATTGAGATATGAATTTTAAGAATGAAATCCTAAATAAAAGTATAATATTATTTGATTAAAATCATAAAAAAAAAAAAAAAAATGTAAAAATTATTCAGGTTGAAGTAAAAAACCTTAAGTATATAAAATTAGTAGCATAAAAATTAATTAATTTCAAATCAAAAAAAAAATGATAATTTATTTATGCTATATATGGATTTTCCGATTATTATTTATAAGCCATATGGCACAATGATAGCCACGTTTAAATATTGAATATAGGAGTATTCACTTAGAGAATTTCGATCATCCAAGAGGCTAAAGCCATTTAACCACGATCATAAACTGCAAATAAAAGCCGCGAATATTAAAATATAAGCCATAAAAAGAAATGAATTTATGTTTAAAATTAGTCGCCATGCCACATACACATGTAACATAGCCTCGAAATAGAGAAATATTATTTATTTTAGTACTTTCAGCCACTTCAAAATCTTAAATAGGACAAATTTCAAATCGAGGCTTTTTTCAATTGCTTGAGATCACTTCTTTTAATCATAAATTATATAAATACATTGTTAATCGCTTATTCAATACTGCAAGTGTGCATTTTGAAAAGTTAAAAAAAAAATGAAACAGAATACAATCAGATTTTTTAGTTTAATGATTGTTATTCTTTTATGTTTCGCAGCTGAGACATGTTCAGGTCGAAAATATCAAATACAGTTGTATAAACCTCCAAGTCATTCTATTGAGCCAATAATAGTCCCTTCGATTCAACGTTCCTATTGTAATTATTCTCAAATTACTATTAAAAGTAGGTAATGAGAATTCATAAATATATATACATGTATTTCGATGTAAAATCAAAATTAATTTGAAACCTTCATTTGCATAGATTTCGTCCTGATTCAAATCTATGCTTCATCCCAAGGCCATATGATTTTTTATAAACGTATTGTAAGTAAAATTTAGTTATTATTATATGAATGATTAATTCATAATTCTTTATTATATAATAGCCTATTTTCGTCGGATCGAATTTCTCAAATGAGAAGAAAACCGAATCTAACGACATTTATCTTATTCAAATCTTTCAAGAAAGTTATCCTTATGCTAAAAGGGAATTTTCTTCTTTTCCTATCATACAATTTTATTTAAAGAAAAACTTGTGAATATGGTTTGTATGAAATTTCTGTGGTAATTATTAAAATTCTCGAAATAAATATTTATATGTTCCCTATTTGAAAAATAAAACGCAGAATAATACGATGTAGATCATCATGTCATTAGATGATCAATAAATGTGAAAAAGGGGCGCCAAATTTTTTTTTTAAAAAATACGTATCATTTCTAACGCAAACTTTAAAATAATTTTCATGCATACTTCAAAAAAAAATTTTTTTTTTTATTAATGCTTTTTTATCATCGAAGATAGTATAAAGATTATTTATTGATTTTCTATCGGATTTTTTTTAATCCAGTTTTACTTAGTTTCTGTCTACATGCTATATAATATAACGAAAATTCAAGTCAAATATAAAAAATTTCTGTCTTACAGGTTGCTTTGGTATGACGAAAGATGTTACATGACATTGTGAGGTACGAAGTTGGATTTAGACCTCTTTGCTGGAAATACTTAATATAATGTTGAAATTATATTCTTTGTAAATTTGTCTATTTTACGACATTGCGTGATGCGCTTAATTTCTCTGCAGAAAAGCATTGGAGCTTCAACAAACAGCTTTGGCTTGATTGCAACAGGACTTTATTTTTATATTTAGATTGAATCACTGTGATTCGCAAATCCCTCTAATATAATGAAAAGGATGACAAATAACTGAATAATAATCAATACCTCTTTCATTGAATAGTCATCCATCTGGAAAAAAAATAGGAAGGATGGTGATGCAAAAAGCAATTATTTCGCGTGGAGATTATAATAGTGAATTATTATTCCCTGAAGTCGTGTGATTTTATTCTGTAATCAAATTTTTCGACGCGTTACTATTTCCACAGTTTGAATAAATATTTAATTTTTTTTTTTTTACAAATTGGATAATTTTAAAATGTTAAATGTGTTATGTTATGAAAAAAAATAAGTATATGCTAAATGATAAATATGCTGTACATTATACAAAGGATAAATAAATAAATAATATGAATAAATATACATTTAAAAGATTGTCCAATAACAAGTTGAAATGCCACTTTGTTATTTCAATATTTGTTTTCCACCTGAAACACTTCATAATCCTCTAGAATATTATCTTTATGATATAACGCCAAACTTATATTGGGATATGTTTTACAAGTACTATGTCTAATTAGTTTATTATTTGTGATCTTCAAATCCCATCCACGACCAAAAGCCGGTCCACTGTTTTTATCATAACTTACAGCGTAATTTTGTTCTTTACTATTAGTGGTTATCTTCATAATGCGTCCTGAATCAATATTTTTATCTGAAAAACTAAATAAAAAACTTTTTGATGAGGATTGCCAACTTCTAGAACACTTTTTTACTGTAGTATAAGGTTCCCACGTTAATGGATTATAACTTCCAATTAACTTGCCATCAGATTGTAATTTTGAAATCATAATTGTTGGACCTTTGTTATCACATAATTCGTGAAATTTTTTTGCTTCAAACCCATCCCTACTTGCACGATAAAGAAGTTTGAATAAATAAGGGGTATTCCTAGAACAGTAAATAGGCTTTTCTTTATTTTCAATCCAACTTGCAATTCTTGATAAATGATGTTTATCAATAATACAAGATTCAAAAGTTGAGCTATCTCTTGAAACCAAAAATAATTTGTTCTGTGGTGTTGTCTCTGGATCTAAATGATATCCAATTATATTCTTAAATAATATTTTAGGAAACATTTGTTCAAATGGACTAATTTTCCGCCAAAAATCTTTTGCAGAAATTTGAAGCCATCTGATGTGTGGAATTAAATCATGAAGTATTTCTTCTAATTCTATAAAATTATCTAATGTCCATTGAATTACATTATCAACATCCAACTGAGTGGACATGTTTGAAATGCCCCATTTGAGAATATAATTCCAAATTGCAATTTCGTTCATTTCGAGGTCGCATTTTAAAAGATTAATAATGATTTCGCATTTTAGTGATGAAAATGTAGGAGATTCAAAGAGAGCTTTAGGATTTCCACAAATATTTTCCAAACAATAATTTCTTAAATCTTCAAGATTTTCATATTGAAATACAATTTGGAGGATTTCAACGGGAACCTTTCTTATAAATTTAGCTTGTTTATTGATCAAATAAGGTATAATACGGTCATTTAACTTTTGAAGATCAAACTCATCAGCTGCTTCATAAAGTTTCAACACTTGTACTTCGGTTTGATTTTCCAAGTCTACCATTCCAGTATAGAGGTATTTTAATAATAATTCAAAGATTTCCGGTGAAACGTTTGGTTTGCTAAAAATAATAACTCCATTTTCTTTTTTTGCCCATTGCTTTGACAATGCGGTCTTAAAATATTTCGACCGTTCTCCTAAAATTAAGGCATGTGTATAGAACTCTTTCATATTTGGACCTTCTCCGGCTTTAATAATCACATCATAACGATCTCCGCTAGAAAAGAGTCGTCCCATATCATTTGATAAATCTGATAAAAGATTTAATTTTTCCTCCATAACCTTTACAGAATGAGTTTTTAGAGAAAGAGATTGTGGTTTTTTTTTTTTTATTTTTTCATTTTCATTGATCGATTACCTTAAATAATTCTAATAACCGAACGCATTGATTAATTGCCATTTTTGATATTTGTGCTTCATTTCACCAAATCATCATATAACTGCAGGCCTTGGATTTAATAAGTATATCAAGTTTTTTAATAGGTGTTATTCGTATACTTGTGGAGAAGAAATATTGCGGAAAATTGTAAATTTAGTTCCGAAGCTGTATATACAGTATTTCAACTGAACATATAATTTATTTGAATCAAAAATTGATAAGGGATTCTTTATATTCTAAAAATAAAATTGTAAATATTTATTATTGATATGTATATGTCGTGCCTCAGGTGTCAGATATCAACTGGCCTAAATTACCGGCCCATTTTTATAACGTCTGTGTAGCATTCTTTTAACATTTCTATTTTTTTTTTTTTAGTATTTCGTCGGCAAATTTAATATTTTATTAATTTAATTTAATTTATTTAAATTCAATTAAATTTTTTAATAAATTTTAATTAATAATATCAACTTTATCTTAAATTTAATAAAATCAAATCAAATTAAATAAAATATATCTGTTATATTTTTTATGATTACAAATTAGTAAAATATGTTAAAAATGGAATTCTAGAATAAAATTTTAAATAGGTATATTTATAATAGGATGTCTTTTCAGATTTATTTAACATTATTATAAGTATACAAATTTTTATGGAATCTTTCTTAACTCTAAAATAGGATTTGTTGGTCACGATTTTATCGATTTTGTGTTGACGACATTCAAATTTGATTGGGTGATTTAGTCGATCACATGATCAAAATTTTGATCCACGGATTCCTCTAGGTTTTTACTCTGAAATTATGTTGATTTCAGCCGGAATTATAATCGCGATTTTTGCGATAAAATCACGCGCGAATTTTGTACCATCACGCCAACCCATCCTGAACACCCTACTACAAATCCAGAAAACATATCAAGAATTCAATATAAAATTCAAGACTCTAGCATATATTTGGCTCAATTCCTACTATTTAAATATTCTAATATCAAACTTGATATGAAATTATCTTGCTAAATACTAAGAATAACATCATTATTTTTAGTTATTTTAGCACAAATAATATATAAAAATGTATATTATACTGCTTACTTTAAAAATGAAACAGAGCATTAAGGATTAAAGTATTTGAGTATACTCTATAAGATTTTGCAAGTCAAATATGTATACTATTTTTATGTAATATTCTAAAATTAATTCTAAAGTAAATTCCTTTATATAGATAATACCAAAATTTTGGTAATTCTTTATCAATAGAAATACCAAAATTTTGTATGTAAGCAAAAAGTTTAAAAATTTTATAGCACTTATTTTAATATATTAAAATACAGAAAGATATTTAAAGCTGATTCATTTACATAAATCCAAGTTAAAAAATGGTTCAGATTACTAAATTTTAGATAATAGTATTAAAATTTAGTGTTTACATAACGAAGTATCAAGTTTATGACTCTTATTTTAGCATACTAAAATATTTTGATATGTAAAAAGACATTTTAGAATAAGACATAAAATAGAATACAAAATTTTTTGAATAATTATTCAATTATATTAAAATTAATCAGATTTTTCAAAATTATCAAAAAAATAGCTAATTTTAAAAAATTTACTGAATTATAATTAAATTTAAAGAAATTAAATATTATCTAATCCTATTATCATTAACAAATCTAAAGTTTTATTATTTAAATTATTTCTCAAATCCATTTTAATTAAGTTGATTTAAAAAATCCCTTTTACACTTCACATTTGAAAAAGAAATTAAATAAATAATATTTAATAAATTTAATATATTTAGAAAATTTTCATAATAATTTTCAAATAGTTTTAGAAGTAATAATTCTAATTTTGTTATCTTATAATTAGTGTATATACTATTACTCCATAGTTATCTCATTCTCAAATATATTATAATCAATAATAAATTCATAATATTCTATTAAATTATTTAATTTGTTCTCTCTATAAATAACCAATAATTCCATATTATCTGATCAAATCAAATAATTAAAAATTTTTGTTGCATTTAAAAAAGGTCAATTAGAAATCTTTTTTATAATTCTAAAATAACTTTTATAAAAAATAATTAAATTATAATAATTAAATCTGTTTCATAATTCTTTGTTTATATTAACTTATAAATATTAAAACAAACATTTAGTCCTGATGATTTCTTAGTAAAAAATCTGTTTAAATTTTCTTTAAATAATAGTTTTCTATTATTATCAAAATCCAAATATTTTAATTTAATTCTATTGATCATCATTTCAATTATTAGATCAATATCTGAAATTGAATATGTTGCTTTTGAAATATTTTACTTAAGTTGCTAAAATAATACAAAATATTATATAAAAAAAAAAGAATTGCAAAAATTTTCAATCATAAATTTGAGTATATAATCAAATAATGTTTTTTTGATTTTGATTTAAAGTAACAGATAAATCTAATAGTGTATCTATTAAAGGTTTAATGGTCAAACATAAATTTTTATTACTTTATACTATAATAACTATTTTATTTCATATATTTATCAAATTTTTAAAATAAGTTGATCTAAAAAATTTTGATATTGTCGTAATATTTTTTATTTTTTATTTGAAGAACTAAAAAAAGAGTAAATTGATTTCATAATATCTTCTATATACTTACAAAAAGGTATTAATTTTTCTGCTAAATTATGCTAATATTAATTATGATTAATATAATATATAGTAAATAAATATAAGTTCTTTTCTGTAAGTTTTGCTGCAACTCTATTTCTCTTTTCAAGTATTACATTTACTCTATCAATTACAAATAAAATGAATTTTGATATTATTTCTAAATATATTTAGAAATTAGAAATATGTTAATTATAATTTAATTAGATATAAAAATATAAATAAAATATAGATTTTACAGATAGCGTAATTATAGCATTAAAAATTAAATCTGCATCTTTACTTTACAATTGAATAAGATTAAAATATTTAACTTTTATTATCTCTTAAATATAATATTTAATATATATAATCATATGTAATTCACATGCTATATCTATATTTTCATCTATAATTATTCCAATAAATATTATATCTTTTAGTTCTTGCTAAACTTTTTCTTTAATTGATAATATTATAACAGATAATGATGCAGTTCAAAACATATTTAATGTGTAGCTTAAAAATTTAAAAACTATTTTGAAACCTTTAAAATGATTTTTTTTTAAATCTAAAATTTAATGAAACTTAATTGAGTTTAGAAAAACCTATTAGAAGTTTAGATAAAAATATTTATTATAAATAAATAGTTTTATCTCAAATATCTTGAAACTTAAATTTTTTAAAAATAGTTTAGGGAGGTATTTTTAATAGCAGATAAAAATTCTTGACTAGATACAGAATTTTCATATATAATTGAATTGGAAGTGAAAATAATTTTTGAAGATTCTAAAGTTTGATCAAGTTAAATAATATATTATTTTTATTTAACCAAAAAATAATTTTCATTAAACAACAAGTATATTTATATATTTTATTAATAGCATTATTTGTAATCTTTTTTATTTGTATTTTTGTGAGTTTATAATTATTTGCTTAAGTATAATCGTCACTAATATAATGATCACTGAGCTAAAGCTTTCATATTTTTGGATCCTAAAATATTAATTTATTAATTTAAAATATAAAAATACTAATATTATAAATAACTAAATATATTATATTATATCTTCTTTTGCAAATTGATTTGACATTTATGTACTTTACAAATTGAACAAAATATCAATTTTTTAAAAGTATTATATATTAACTAATGGTAAATTTTTAACTATTCTTACTGAAAAATTTCTATTTTATGATTAATTTTAATTTTTTAGAAGTTTGATAATATCATATTATAGGTTTAAAAACTAAAAATTTATAAGTAGGTTAAGTTTTATTAATAAGTTCAATAAGTTCAACAGGTTCAGCATTATTATTAAAATCATTTTTATCTAAACTACTTTTAAACTAAATATTTATTACAATAATAAATTTTTTGTTATATTTTATATATTTCAATAAATTTAATATCATTTTTATAAGTAAATACTTTTCATTAAATTCAATAAGTTCAGAAATTTTAGAATAATATTTTAAAATTAATATTTCTAAAATTATCAAAAATTTAAAAGTTTTTTTTTGATGAATTACAAATAATAAATTAATTTATTACAGAATTGATACATTTTTAATTTCTCTAGAAAAATATTTGATTCTAAAAAAATTTATCAAATATTCTTAAAAATAGCCAGAAATCTTCTTTTTTTACAGTATTATTTTATATCTTAAGATAGAATACTAAAATTTGATCTAAAATATAAATATATAGAGTCAAAAATAATAAAAATTTTGATAGTTTTACTACTGTTTATTAGAGCTTTAGAGTATAACTGATAAAAATCTAAGAAATATAATTAATTAATATTTATGATAGTATAATTAAAAAAGAAATTTTATAAGTATTATATAATAGTTGTGATACTATAATGATTAGGATTAGTAAAAGTCCTAATAAGTTCTAATTAGTCTTAAAGAATTTAAAGATAATTTTAATTTATATACTATTAATTAAATTTTTTAATAATAAATTAATCT